TCAGTAGCATTTTTATCAAACACCTTTTAAGTATTATGCTGCATTTAACCGAAGGGGATGGGTTAAATGCAGAGATTAAATTTCCCCAGATAAAGGAATTTAGACATTTACCATTTCTTTAAAGGCAACTTTTTTAATATTTTAGTTGCATTTCAATATGATGAAGTATTGCTACTGTTAAGTACAATCGTTGGGTACTTGTTCGCCTCTGCAGGGTCATTAAAAAGAAAAAGATCCCGGGAAGAGCATACTGATCTGTCAGAATGGTCTAGTTAAAGTTCAGACCTAAATACGTTCAAGAATCTGCAGCCAGGCCTGGCAGCTGAAGTTTAATGGCTTTAGCTATTTAACAGGGTTTGCAAAGATGTGTTGGGAAAAAAATTGTTTAATCCTGACGGATGGCATATCCTATGCAGGTTGATTACAGGAAACCTAAATGTTCCTAGTGGTTAGAGCAGTGTGCTTGAGCTCTTGAGCAAGGCCCTTAACCCCACACTGCTCCCTGGGCGCCGCACAATGGCAGCCATCTGCTCCCCAAGGGGATGGGTTAAATGGAGAGGTAAATCTCTCCAGTGTGAGATCAATTATTATTATTAAATACATTTTAAGTTATGTTAAAAGATGAGAAAAGCTAGTCAACCTTTTCACCACACCTGAGATTCTCTGTATTTGAATCCATGCAGATTGCAGGGAGAAGCTGCAGAGCAGGTTGGAGGGAACATGTTAGTGGGGCTGAGCTCCTGGTGTCGGAATCAGCCACCGACTCCAGCGGTCCAGAGAGCCACAGATGCTTCCCCGGTTTGTGTGTTGACTCTCGGTAATTTGTTTGCTCTAATTTGTTTTGCCGTGCCAGGGGAGTTCTGATTTTAATTTTGCTCTGTGTGTGCTTACCCCTCTTTGTGGATCGCTGATCTGTTAAGCGCAGAGAGAGGGAGGGAGGGGGCTCTCCACAGAGCCAAATAAAAAAGGAGCGGTACAGATTGTTTTAAGCTCTGGCAGCTCCGTCAGGCCCAAAGGCCTCGCTCTGAGCCTGCACCTGCTCCGTCCCCTGGGAGCCTGGTTCCTGAACCGTGGCCCTTGAATCTCCTCCTCAGGCCCCTGGCCCAGCCACCCCATCCCCTCCTCTTCACTGCACTTTTATTTTTTCTCCTTTCCATATTTTACTCCTTTTCATTCCCCCCTCCTTTGACTCCCAACAATCCCTCCATTCTCAGCTTGGGCTGTTTTTCTTCACCCTATCCCTCCTCTCTACCACCTGCTCCTCCTCTTATCCCTCCTTTCACATTTTGCTCCTTGTTACTCCTCCTCTCCTTTCTCCCGACCTTCAGTAAATCTGTGCTGCAGTTGGCTCATCCTCCAGCAGCTGGCAGACCCACTATAGCACCTGAACGATTTCAACTTGTCTATTTGATAACCCAAAAAAAAGAAAAGTTAAATATATGACAATAAGAACCTAACATCTGGTATACCATCTTTCCTCCTCCAGGAGTGAAGCAGCATCTAAAAAAATCAAAACAAATGTTTAAAATTGTCACAGCTAGCTTTTATTGAAATCCACCCGTCGCTCCACTTTATGACTGCACAGCCACAGGTGTTCGGATCGGTCCGTCAGACCAACACAGCAGGATACACATCGTCACACAATATTTACATCACACCACCATTAAACTCCAGTAACAATTCATCTACTTTAAATATGGCTTGATTAAATCTGTCCAGCTGCAGCGTTTGATGGATCAGGTCAGATGAGACTCCGCTGTTTTAGGAGGGAAAGACAGAACTTTATCTTTTACATTTATATAACTAACCAGCCTTCAACTTGTTTAAAGGTACGGGGGACATGAAAATAAAATGGGATTTTATTAGCCATGCAAGTACACTGTAAAAAATAAATGTTTTTCACTGTAATTTAATGGAATTTGCTTTTAATTTGGGCAGTTAGATAAGATCCTCTATCAATGGAATGAGCACACTGGAAAATAATAGATCTAAATAAGTTATTTTTTCTTAAAATAAGTGCTTTTTTTTTAAAATTGAGGATTTAAGTGAGACACTTTGCCAATGGAACAAGACCGTTTACTTTTAAAATAAGAAAAAACTATTTTATGGACATATTTCAAGTGCATATTATCTAATTACCTTATTTTAATAGTGAAAATCCTCATTCCATTGGCAATTCATCTTATTTACCTACTCAAATTGAGGGTAAATGCACTTAATTTAAGACATTTTGACTTATTTCCTGATCGTTTTTTGCAGTGCACAGGGCAAAAAATATAATAAAGTAAATTTCTCCTCATATAAGTGTATTTTCCTTTGTTTTATGCCGGTAATAAAACGATCTGTGATTGAAAGGAAGATTTACATGTAAGAACAACAAAACAAAACAGCTTCATCATCTTATTTCAAGAGAATAATATCTAATTTTCTTACTTTAAGGACAAATACATGTATTTTTAGATGATTGTTGTAGTGTATATTTGTTTATATAACTAGAGATTTAATCTTATTAAATATTAATTAGTAGAAATTGAATTCAATCTGTAAATTGTGCTCAAAACAAGGGAAAATATGCTTAGATCAAGTAAAAATGGACTTATATCACTTTTTTGCAGTGCAGGCATGAGCCACTGGTTTAATGGTATCAGGATTTATGTGAATATTTCAAACAAAATAAATGTTATGAAATATTTTCTTTAAACAGAAAGTAAGACACAAGCAAAGAGGGATGACAGTAAGTATTTAGCAATGCTGCATTTCTCTATGCGCCTGAGAAACCTCCTGTCCTTCCAGTCTTTGTTTCCTCTGATGAAAAAGATTTAGAACACAAAAACAATAGAAACTTTTTAAAACCTTCATATCGGTAGTCGACCTCAGTTGGTGCAATTTACCAGCCAGCCAGGCTTAATTGGTGAGCCATTTTGTTTTGGAGCAATCAATGTACAGGTGGTGGGGGGGTTGAGTTTTCCCTTGCTGAATGAGCAGCCTGCTGCTTCTAGGAAGGACGCTAATGAGGGCAGTGAGACTGAACCAAAACAAAACAGAGAGGTCGTCTGGCTGGGAAGAGAGCTGATTCAGTCGTTTCTGAAAGAGGGATTCCTTTCCTCTGGTACAGAAACTAGTTTAAACAAACTTATAAACCTCTTTTAAAACAGCTTTAGTCTGAGAAATAATCAGTTTGGTGACGACTTGTTCCTGACAGATCAGGGTTTAAAACATTGATGAGAATAGTTGCTCATACTTCAGATACATTATCAGTTTTACATTTCTGCTTATCTCACCTGTGTTTAGGAGAAGGTCTAAAAACCGCTTTCTCTGGTTGTTCCTGTTCATATTTGTTGGTATCTGTGGTAAAGATGTGCAAAAAGCCAGAAAACAAAATCATCTTTATTTCTAGTAGCATAACACTTGAACTGAGGTTTTTAATATTTTTATTTATCTTGTTTAAATTAAAGCTTTTAGGAATTTCTAATTAGTAATTTATGTTTTTCTCTTTCCCTGGGACGAACATATGAGGTGGCCTTTTTTTTTTTAGCCTTGAAGCTTTAGGAGAACCCATATTTATCTTGCAAACTTGGACCGTGAGCACAGTTGTAAAAGAGGTAAAAGAATCCCTCACAGTTCGCAAACAGCCGCCATAGAGGCCTATGGCTCTAAAACATCCATTAGATGAGGAAAAAGCTTAAACGTAAACATGGCCGTCACTAAACTCCAGTTCCTTCCAAAGGAAAACGTTTTCTGTCAGATGAGCCTCAGCTTTTCAACATAAAATATGGTCATTGATTCATTATTTGCATAAATGCAGGATAAATATGCAGAAAAGCATCACATGCTGATTAATAGGTACGGTAGGGGAGCTGTGATGCTGAGTGTTTCCTCGCCATCCTCAGAACCCAGTAACCTTATCAGAGTTCATGGCAACATAAACTCCAGTGAACTGAACATTTCAGTACCGCTCAAACCTTTGAAAAGAACAGTGCAACAGACTGGTGGCCCAATAGAAACACATAGGAACGGTTTCTAATCTGTATTTATATAAAAATTACTTCAGTAAAGTAATTATTGTTATTTTTACATAAAGTTATTACTTAAAAACTATGATTATTTATTTAATTCATTGTTTTAAATGTATTTTCAATTATACAATAATTTTATGGTATATCTAATATTTAATTTATGTATTAAATAAGTAGGTAAAATAAAAAAACATGTCTACTTATTTCATGAGGCATTCATATTTATGTATTTCATAACATATTTTGTCCCTCCATACACCGTGACAATCATCTTTTGACCAGAAGTGTTTGTCTCATGGTCCTTCTGTGGGTCTCGAGCCCCCATTTCGGATCTAGGAGGACCACCTCTGTGTGTCCCAACCCTAATAAACAGGACAAAGGAAGTCTTACATACAGAAAGGCTATTAAAATAGTAGTTTCCTGCTAAAATACTTTAATTAAACCTTAATAAGAAGAAAATCTGTGTGAGATTAAAGCATGAATTTATTTTGAGGCTTTTCACACGTCTCTAACAGCAGTAACCACCAACAATCTCTGTGATTTTTTTTAAATCATGTCCTTATTGAGCTCCCCTACCTGAACTGCTTAGCGCTGACGTTGTTATCCTCTCCATTACGACCTTTGAGTTTTAAACCATCTCACTGATGACGTTCAGCCAATAGAAGCGATGCATTCTCGCTGCCTGGATAATTAACAGAAACTTTACATCCATCAAAACATCCTCCTGGCCTTAACAGCACACTCCTTCCTTTCACATGAGGTGAAAATTATTTTCCACTAGTGCAAAAAAACATATCTTAAAGCGATAAGAAAACATAAAATTACAAAAATATATTTAAATACATAAAAAAAATGAAATGGCACTGTTAATAAATAACTGTAAAACAAACAATGACTAATGTCACAATAATCTGAGCAGTAAGGCTGGTTTGTTTCTGAGCTCACTTTCAGGCTGCAGTCATCTGCTCCTCCTCAGGAATCTGCTCTGCCCTTTGCCTCCATCTAGTGGTCAAAAATATCCACTACATCTCTGACACAAAATGCCCTGAAACTATAAAAAAAATCCATTAAACATAAAGTGCATGAAGATAAAGTAATTTAAGATGAAAACTTGTAACTAAAACAGGCACAGATTTATCCTTCTGCCCTCCATCCAGTAAACCTCCAGGTTATAATAAGCTAGCTACGATACACAGCAGCATAAAGGACATGACACTAGGGTCTGAGACGGACAGGAAGTGACACCCGCTGCTGTCTGCTTACTATTCAGCACGCAGATGGTAAACAGCAGAGATACTGCAGCTGTTCCTCCTGAGCCAAATGATCGATCTCCACCTGTTTGAATGGATTTATGCATTTTGACACATGGCAGGGTGGCGATTAGTAGCATCGTCTCATGGCGAGTGAAGTGCCACCTGTCCCATTTGCATTACTTCCCGTTTCATCGCTGCACTTCTCATGAGATCAGACGTCTAGTTTATATTACTTTCTGTGAGGATCGGGCGAATAAGGCAAAGAGGGACTGCCGCTGGGACAGTCCACATGATGCGGAGGGGGACAAACGGTACACGGTAAGTTCTAATATGAGGTTGCATCCTCTGCATATAAACACCCGGTCTGTAGGGAGTTTTTAACATGCTGGGTTTTCCACATGTGAAACCACACAGCTGCCTATTCCAGTTTCTGCCGGTCAAAGCGGTCGAAGCTCAAACCTCCAGGTCTGGCATCGTTTCTTCTTTGAGCTGAATGTCGTTTTCGGAGCCGGTCCCAACGTCCGAGTCAAAAAGCGAGTGGTCCGACTCGGGGGAGGGAGTGTGTGTGTTTCTGGCTGACTGGCTGCTGCTGTCGCTGTCTTCCAAAGTGTCAGTCCTGGAGAACAGGCCAAAGTCCAGCAGGCCGGCGGGGCTGCTACTGCCGCTGCTCTCGCTGTCTCCGTCGTAATAAAGATCCTCCACATCCACGAACCACTCGGGCCAGAACTTTCTTCGCATCCGTTCGCAGAACATGGCCAGGTTGATCAGCTCTCCTGAGGAGAAACCAGCAGAGCGACGTGTCAAGGATTACTGCACATGAGCAGTGTGTAAACATAAAACAATAAAAACCTGCAGATTCACTAATCACGTCTTTGTGAAAGTATTCCTACCCCTTAAACCTTTCTTGTTTTTATCACATTACAGTTCACATTTTGTATTTTATTTTGTTTCTTATGTAATAAAATAAGAAAATGTTGCATAATTATAAACCTGACAGAAAATTTAAGAAATGTTTTTAAATAAAAATCGAAAAAGTATGACGTCGATTTTTCTTTTACGCCTGATTTTCCCTGATGTTCTTAAATAAAATCCTGGGACCAAATAGTCTATAAGTAGCTACAAAATCATTACAAAATTTAAATGGAGCCCAATCAAGTTTATTTAGTTATCAATTCAGTTGTTCTGTTTCTGACTTAAAAAGTTTGTTAGAGAGCAAGGAACAGCTTTCTGAGATTCTCACAGGGAAAAGTCTTCATGATATGCAGACAAAAACCATCGGTATCCCTCGTTTAATTATCGATAAACCCACGATGGTCACAGAAATAACTGGAATCTGACTAAAGTTAAGAATAATGACGGTTTAATGTTTACATGTTTCATGATCTGAAATAGAGCTGTACAAATTTGTAAATGTTCTTCAATCCCTATTCACAGACAGTTACTGCATGTCACTCCCACTTATCTCATCATCCATTTCCTATCTAGCAACTAGACTAAAATAAAGGCCAAAAGAGCCAAAGAAAATAAAACTTAAAAATAAGAAAGGAAAAATATTATAAAGTTAAGATGCTGAACATTGAATTTGATTTGTAAACCCTTCTAAGTAACATTTATCGTTTTCTAATAACTTCACAGTTGACTGAAAAGAATCCCCAAAAGGCCTCCTGAAAAGAAGCCGACCTTTAATGAGTTGCTCTGGCCAGGTCCCAGGTAGCGTCCACATAGCTTGAGCTAGATGGCCAAACACTGTGGCATCTAGTGTTGACATCTTGGAGCCCATGAAGTATTTATTATCTCCTACAAGAGAAACAAAGGCTACATTATACAGTGATGACAGCAGGAACTCAACTGCTCCTTTAACACCTGTTTATCCTAATGATGCGTTTGTTTTTTTCCAGCCTTCGATAACTTGTCGACTGCTTTTGATCTTCTCAGGAATCGCGAATGTTCTGAATTATTGTCCTTTGTTGAAAATGAGCAACATTAGATTTAAAATAAAGGAATATCTTCCATCTGTATAAAGTTGACAACATGTTAGGTTCTGTTCTGATGACTTTCTATTAT